CCCAGGGGGGAAGGAAGTGCCCCGGGGCCGGACTGAGTGGTGCGAGGACCCCAGCCTTCCCCGCCCGCTGCCCTGCGAACTCTGCGATGGCCGACAAGGTGTCCTGTGGGGCCCGCAGGCCAGGGTGTGGGCAGGATTCGGGAGCCAGGTCACAGGTGTCCCACACCCTCCAAGGCGGCAGTCGGGGCTGCGTGGCGAGGGCAGAGACCTCTTAGAGGATGTCTCTCCGCCCAGTGCCGACCTGGGGACATCCCGGCAGGAGCACTCTCACACCCTGACCCCCTGACCCCGCAGTGCCGCCCGCGTGCCACGTGCTCTCAGGCCCTCACCTGAAACAATGGCGCCATGGAGATCTGCCTTCAACAGCTTGGCCTGGATCGCCTGGGGCTGCCTGTGGGCAGACAGAAGCCTCACCGTCTTTGCTCAGGAAGCGGGCTCCCAGGCCGCACCCACCGCTGTCAAGGTCAGGGTCAGGGCCAGGGCCTGAGAGGAATGGGTTCCCCCAAAGGGCAAGGCTTCAGAAACTCAACTCACGTGTCTGGCCTGAGGCCGTTGCACAGGTCCCGGATGTACTGTTTCCAGAGCTCGTGCAGGGGGAGAAAGAGGTCGTATCTGTGGGAAGTCAGAGGGTGGAAGCGAGCCCCGTGAGCTTGATGACACCGTCCAAAGCACAGCGCTCGGCTTCCTGCCAAGGACGCCTGCTTCCACCCCGAGACCCTGTCTCCTCACCGGTGGGCCCTCCGAGGCCACGTTCCTGCTAGTGAGATGAGGAAGGGGCACCTTCCTGGCCCCTCCCCTCCCTGCCACTGGACACAGCTGTGACACCTGGAGCGCAAGCAGCCGCCCGAGACCACGGGGCCATGTCTAGAGCTGCCGGAGCAGCCGGACACACCGGGCCATGCTGCCTGGGCCTGAGGGCCGTGGACCCGCCTGCACGGAGCCCAGCACACGCGCACTTGGACTTCTCCTCCGGGAGAAACCCACTCCTGACGCCTGCACTCTGAGGCCCTGCGCGTCAGGACGCTGAGCTAGGTGAGCCCTCGTCCAACCCGAGCTGCTGGCGTCACGCAGGACCCGGGCGGTGACAGGTCTGCCGGGCAGGGGAGGGCGCGGAGGAGAGGACCCCAACTGTGGGTTAGAGGATGGAGAGATTCGGCTCAAACCTGAAGGGGGCGGTAGCGGTGGGGACACCACAAGGCCCCTGAGACAGACAGCTGCCCCCCGGCCCCAAACCCAGCTGGTTTCTCGAGAGGCCATGGACAGGGTGACAGACTGTCCAGTGGGTGTGGGAGGCTGCTGGCTACAGGTCTGGAAGCGAAAGTCTACAAACAGTCCCCAGGCACCCACACCCAGAGCCGGGCCGAGGGCCGCGTGGCAGGAGGGAGCCCCTCCCACGAGGAGTGCCATGTCCCTGCAGAGGCTTCCCAACACGCGGGCAGCACGCTCCTGGGCAGTAACCTGTGGGTGACTCTGCTTGTGCTATTAGAAGCTTAGGGAGATGAGTAGGAAGAAGTCTCAGTTGCTCTTTTCTGAAAGAGCTGGAGGACGGCCAGCCTGTTGCCATGGGCAACAGACGCACTAGAGGCAGGTGCTATTAGGGCTGGGACAGAAGCCAGCCACTCACCAGCCTCCCTATTCAAAGCCAAACCCAAACCCAAACCCAGTCCCGGTGGGTGAAGGAAGACTGCCCCCTGGCGGCAGAAGCGGGAGGCTCCACCGGCCAGGAAGGCAGGCAGGAAGGCCGGTACCTCTGCTGCTGCGGCTTAATGTCGAAGAGCCGCAGCGCCCTCCTCTGCCGCGCGGACAGGCCCCTGGCCCGCCTCCTCTGCTCCTTGCCCCTCCGGCGGGTGAAGTACTCCAGCACCACGGCCTTGCGCTGCAGCTGGTCCTCGCGGACGCTCTGGCTCATGTGGGGCGTGCAGCGCCGCAGGAAGGCCTGCAGGAAGGCCTCGGCGCGCTGGGCTCCCGGGCGCTGGGGGGACAGCAAGAGCGGGGGCTCACTGCTCTGCGAGGCACAGTCACCCCGGGTCCTCGCAGGCAGGCTGCCTCCCCCACAGAGGCTCACACCGCCTCCGGGTGCTGCCTGCCCCCCACCCACCGCTGTCCAGGTGCGAAAGCCACATCCTGACGCCAGTCCGTGGCCATCACACGAGACAGCCAGGCCAGACTCCAGGGCCCGCCCTGTCCCTGAGGCCACCCTGGTGATGAGATCACACCCCTGTATGTGGAGGAAAAGACTCCCTGGTCTTTGGTGGGAGGAAGAGGGGCGGCATTTAATCAGTGGTGAGGAGGCCAGCTGGGGCGGAGCCAAGCTCTGGCCTGAAGGAGAGGCCTCTAACCCCAGGAGGCGGCACAGCCAGCCCAGGAGTTGGATCGGCTCACGGTGGGTTTCCGGCTGTGGGCGCATCACTTGGGGGAGGAACTGCCAGGCATCTCAGCACCGCCCCCTCCCGCCCCCTCCCGCCTCCTGCTCACTCTCTGGACACACAGCAGAGCCTCACGTGACCCTGACAGAGCACAGGTGCCAGGGGGCAGAGCAGCCGTCACCGTGTGCAATTCTGGAGGGGCCTCCGAGCATCACTGCCCTGAAACTGCAGCCGCACCCCCACCCCTCCAGGCCAGGTGGCACTGCCTCCCGAGGTCCTGCCTCTGGCAGGCCACTTCCTGGACCCTCAGAGAGGGGACTGACATGACTGGATTGTCTTGAACACCTAAGTGGCCCTCCACGGAGACGCCAAATAAAGGCCTATCGGTCTCAAAATCTTGATTTCCGGTATCTCCCTCCTCATGGGGGAGCTTCTGCCAAATGGGCAGATCACAGAATCCATAAATCTCACAGATGTGGTCTCTCTGCCTGTTGGGGAAGGGGAGCCAGTGACCAGGTCAAATGACAGCGTCCACCAGGGCAGGTTTCAGGTGGACACAGCCCGGTGTCCCCACACGATGGGAGATGACACAACGGGAAAGGAGACCCGCATGTGGGAGAGTCGTCAGGACAACAGGCCCTGCTGGGGAGACGAGGCGTGGGACGCGGAAAGCCTCTGAGGCCACCGAGCATCTGTGTCATCCCCCGTCGCTCCCAGACCCCCTGCCAAGCACCTACCTGGACATCCAGCTCCTTGGCCTCTTTCTGGGAGAGGGCGTGGTAGATTACACCTGGGGACGGGAAAACGGACACGAAATGATTCCTGCAGGGCAAAAGGCCCGAGGCGTTTTCTACTCTGAACAGAGCAATGCTCATTCAGGGACAGGAGGCGGGGCTACAGAGGGCACAGCTGCGAAGCCCTCATGGAAGCTCTCACGCTGCCCACGCATCACGTCCATCACAGAAACCCCAAGGGCCGGCTTCAAAGGTGCTTCTCAGACATGAACGTGCGGAGGGACCTCTGGGACTTATTAGCATGTGGACCAGTGGATCTCAACCTTCTGGCCCTTTAAAATACCGTTCCTCATGTTGTGACCCACCAATAAAAAATATTTTCGCTGCTACTTCATCACTGTCATGGTGCTACTGTGATGAATCGTCATGTAAATATCTGAAATGCAGGATGGTCTTAGGCGACCCCTGTGAAAGGGTCGTTCGACCGACAAAGGGTTCACGACCCACAGGGTGAGAACCGCTGGTGTAGACTCTGGGCCCCATCCCCATATCCTGCATTTCTAGCAAGTTCTCAGAGGGAGCTGCAGGCCAGCAGACCACACTTGGAGCTGCACTGGTTTAAAATACTGTGGACGAAAAGGGGCCACAGACTCACCCTGACAAGCTCAGGGGAGGCCTGCGTGGCGGCCTTACAAACGCAGAGACTTACACTAACCACACCGGAGGGTCTGAAATGAAAACTTTTCAACTAAAAGCAGTTTATGGCAGGTAGTCATGTCCTAGGCTAAAACCTTCCCTGAAAAAAAGTCAATTTTTACCTTAATCGAGCCTGTCTACAGTCTTCTTGCGTCTACGATAACAGACCTTTGGAATGTCAAAGTCAACTCCTTCCTCCAGACCCCTCAAAGCACAGGAGCCGAGCCAGAGCAGAGACTACAAATCTCCTTGTTCTTACTGTAACTGTGTTAATCGCTGTTAACTACCCTGTACCCACCTCAGTAAAATAAGTTTTACTCTTTATCCAATCCCAGAGATCCCCTAACCCTCCTTTGCTCTCTCCCGCCTCCCTGACCTGTCACCAGGGGACTTCATGTGTCCCACCTATGCCTCCTCTTTGATCGTAATGTATCAAATAGGGTGCAAACTGCCATTTTTCAGGAGCATTTTCTTGATCCGTTGAGATTTTGCTTCCCAGCAGTTGTTATCAGTTTGGCTCACAAAACTCACAAACTCTCTACAGGTCTGAATGTTTCTTACGTTGACAATACCACAGGTTAGGAGCTGAAGAGCTGTTCAACTTGTAATGAGGGAACTCATTTAAAAGTTATGTGATGCAGGTGGTTGGGGATAATACATTTTGTTAAAAAGATTCTCCACAGTTTAGTAATTATAAAATTGGATCATACAATTGATGGTGTCCTAAACTGATAAAATACAGTAGGTCTTTTTTCAAGCTCAAAATATATATATTCACCAATGTGGCTTCAATCTCTAAACACATCCACACTATTTCTTATTTGTCTGAAGAAAACCTGTGGCACTGGGATGTGGACACAATAAGAATGAGACAGAGCCCTGATTCAAGCGCCCAAATATTAGACAATTTGGTTCACACTACACTCTATAAATCTCATCCCTGCGCACATTTGATCAAACAAACCAAAGTGGTTACAAGTCTTCTGTGCTGAGTCTAATCCTCCCTCAAATGTAAGATGGGGGAGTATAACCTGTTTGTAGAGAGCAACGTGCAAGACCCCAAACCCCAGGAATGACGGCTCCCCCGGCCCAGGTGCCGAGACTTGGGAGCCTTTTCAGTCACAACACACATCTAACGTCTATGGAGCCCGCAGTACTCGCCATGCACTTCATTAAAAGCTTTGCATATTTTACCTTTTTTTTCCTAATATATTTTTATTGATTTCAGAGAGCAAGGGAGAGGGAGAGAGAGAGAGAGAGAAACATCCATGATGAGAGAGAATCATGGATCGGCTGCCTCCTGCACGCCCCGCACTGGGGATCGAGCCTGCAACCCGGGCAGGTGTCCTTAACTGGGATCGAACCCGGAACCCGTCAGTCCGCCGCTCTATCCACTGGACCACACCGGCCAGGGCAGCATATTTCATCCATCATTCCTTCCGCAGAATCCGGGGCCGTGGTCACTATTCCTGCTGCGCACCCGAGAACACGGACGCTCGGATACGCTACCCTGGGTCACACAGGCTGGCACCTGCAGCGGGGGACTCGGAACCGCATGCAAAGCCGGTGTGAACGGTGTCCACACTCCCCTGCCTGCAGCGGCCCGGGCGCTGCTCCCCTCGGGGCACAGCTCTCCGCCATCGCCGGGGGTGGGGGTGGGGGGACGGTGTCATTCACAGAGCGGCAGGCCGCGCAGGCCTGGGCCACGGCCACCCGGGAGGCAGCGGCCAGTCGGGCGAAGGCCCTGGCCGGTTTCGTAGGAAACACGCCACTGAGCGGCCCCCGAGAACCGGCCTCCAGCTCGGACAGCAACCCCGGGCTCAGACTCGGGGCCGGGCCAGGCGGGCCTCAGTTTCCCCGAGGGAAGGTGGGGCAATTCCCACAACAGCCCCGCTCGCACTCCGCAGCGACCCGTTCACTCCCAACGCCCCGCACCCAGAGCCCGAGCCCTGACGCCCGAGCCCGGGGCTCTCAGCCCCACTCACTCCTCATTCTGGGGCCGCTTCCGGTGCGCTCTGATGACGTCTCCATCGGGCGCCGCTCGCGCTTTTCCTCCCTCCACCTCCTTCCGCGGCCCCTGTCGTCGGAGTCGGCAGTGGAGAGGGTCCTCGTCCCCGAGCTCGCGCGGCGCAGAGTCCGCAGACCGACTCACTCGCTCGGGCTCGCAGCCGCGGTCGCAGGCGGCCGCGTGCGGCGCCGGTGACGTCACTGAGCGCGCCTACTGGGGTCGGCGCATGCGCCTGGGAGCCGGCGACGCCGTGGGGAGGGGCGTGGCTGCACCTGCGGAGTCTGCGCAGTGGGGCTTCTTTTTCAGCCTCGTGTTTCCTAAGCGGCGAAGGCCACATGCCGTGGGTTTGCGGCTAGCGCGTGGGGAATCCTTAGTGTTTTTCTTTTTAAAAATTAGCTCCGAATGATGAACTTTCAAACGTGGGTACAGGTGTTCTCCCACTTGTGACTTTGTGGAAGATCCATGGGAAGTCGATGGTACCGCCCCTCCCCCCGCCCAGTTTATTACAAAAATCTTCACATAAACAGGAACATGGGAGAATTCTGCAGTTGACGTCCGTATGCGCTCAGATTCTGCAATTGGCCCTGTTTTCGGGTTTCTTCCGATGGCTGCTCTAAGACATTCATTCAGGCTGAGGCCGAGGACACAAGAGAAGTTGCATAGCCGAGCTCGGAAGGACTGAGCCTCGGCTGCTAAAGAAGCGCGTTTCTGTGAAAATGAGATTTCCTGCCATTCCTTTAAGTCAAAGAAAAGGTCCCGATCCCGAACACCAGCAAACCTGCACCGAGAACAGGGAAGGCTTCGTGTTCAGTGACAGTTGTCCCCCAAGTTTAAAATAGAGTCGGCTGATTGTTTTATACGAATTCGTGGGGTCCCTCAGGGCGGCCTGCGGGGTTTGGGCTGAAACCCGCAGTCCAAAGCCACCTGCCGCCCCTGCCTGCTGCTCCCGCTCCTCCGGCCTCGCTGCGCTTGCCACGGTCTCGGGCCCAGTCAGTCCTGTTCGGGAGAGGCTCACGCTGCCCACAGCGGCGCTTGCCAGCTGTGAGCCCTGTGTCTGGCGCCCATCCCGAAAGGGGGTGGGGGGCGCCAGGACGCAATGGGCCCTCCGGGCGGGCGGTGGGATGCCCTTGCCAGCCTGGGATCCGGATCCCTCAGGCCAATGTTCCTGCCGGTTGTCGGGAGCCATCTGGTGGCCGCTTTTATATCGTTCCTTCCTTGCGGAGCATCTAGGGAGGGGAAGCGGCCACAGTGCCTGAGGCTGACTTCCAGGAGGCGGGCTGCGCTGTCAGGGTTGTGCCGGCAGCGCTGGTCCCTCGGTGCCTGACCGGTTCTCCAGAGATTGGACCTGCAGGACTGCTGAGGGAGTGGCTGCTGCTGGGTCACCCGGACAGGTCAGTCAGCTGAGCGGAGCTCCCACTGTGGGAGCTCACTGCCCACCAGGGGGCAGCTCCTGCCTTGAACGTCTGCCCCCTAGTGGTCAGTGCGTGTCATAGCTACCGGTCGACCGGTGGTTCGGTCATTTAGTCTCTTAGGCTTTTATATATATAGCTGTTTCACATGTACATACATGTATATATGCATGCATATGCACACACACCTACACACCTGTGTCTATACATGCATGGGCCTGTATGTATCCACACAGAAGTTTTTCCTCCTTCTGTGTTTCTTTTAAATGAAGAAACCCAGTGTGTGCGAGAAGGACGCTTTTCCTGACAGGACAGCGCTGTTTGTGACCTGGAATCGACAACAGGACCTGCTTCCTCCGGTGGCCGGGATCCCTCCGTGGGAGGCCTGGGGCGGGGCTGGGAAGCAGAGACCTGGCTCTGTGGCGTTTGACTCCCAAAGCCCCACTGGAGGTAACAGACAGGTATTTTTAAAATATATTATTGATTTCAGAGAGGAAAGCAAAGGGAGAGAGAGAATCATGGATCGGCTGCCTCTTGCACGCCCCCTACTGGGGATCGAGACTGCAACCCGGGCCTGTGCCCTGACCAGGAATCAACCGTGATCTCCTGGTTCATAGGTCGACGCCCAACCACTGAGCCACGCCGGCCGGGCCACATTTCAGATTTTTGATGAAGGTCAAGTCTGCAGCGAGACCTATTTCCCTGTGTCATGAGGCTCCTTCAGGCCCAGAGAACTGGCTCTCATTAACTTGGGCATTTGGACTCTGCCGGGTTGCATTGGCATTTGTTATTTATTGGTTCGCTTTTACCCCGGGGGGTGGGAGGGGGGTCTTGGAGCGTGGAACCTTGAAGCTGCCCGCAGCTGCAGCAGGAAATCGGGTCTGTCACCAGATGGCACCCTCACACAGGGCTGAGGCTTCCCCTCCCGTCTGGAGCAGTTCCCTGTGGAAACCCGCGGCTTCCAAGGGTTGCAGCCGCGGCACGGAAACCCACAGGGAAACCCACAGCCGCCCGGGAGCCGGCTTGTTTCTCTATAAACGTGGGCCTGGGTTTGATCAATGCCTTTCCTGACAGAAGAACGGTTACCCAGTCCAGTGGTTTAAGATCGAGGTTAAAAGGAGAGACAGATGCCCGGCCAGTGTGGTGCAGCGGTTGAGCGTCGACCTCTGAACCAGGAGGTCACGGTTCCATTCCCAGTCAGGGCACAGGCCTGGGTTGCGGGCTCCATCCCCAGTGGAGGGCGTGCAGGAGGCAGCCGATCCATGGTTCTCTCTCATCATTGATGTTTCTACCTCCCTCTCCCTTTCTCTCTGAAATCAATAAAAAATATACACATGTTTGTTTTTTTGTTACAGGAGAGAGGGGTGATGAGAGCCGGGGAGGAGGCGGGTGTGATGACATTCAGAAGGTGATGCGGTCACCGAGGTGGCGGAGGGGACCTGTCGGGGTGTCAGGTGGGGCTGCAGCAGGAGGCGGCGTGTTTGCTTTGGGACGTGCCCTTGCCCCTTTCCCTGTGAAATGACTTTTCTGCCCGGCGACCTCGTTATTACGGGGAAAGAGACCGTCACGCCGCCGAGTAAATAAGTCCACATTGACACGCGTTCGCGAACTCCCCGTGACAAGCGTCCTTTGCTGTGTTTGCGGAGGTGGGAATGGGGACCGCGGGGCTGAAGTTCCTTAGCAGAATCGCTGCCAATTAAGCTGTATTTATTTCCTCGGCGTTGGAGTGCCTGTGACATTTACCCGTGACATCTGGGTCGGGAACCGCGTGGTGGCAATTTCCCCTCCTCCTCGGCGAGGGACAGCGAGTGCCTGTGGCAGAGGGGACGGGGAGCTGCCCGCTGTGGTCACGGCGCTGCCTGTCAGCATCCCGCAGCCGCAGGACGCCCGACTCGCAGAGATGAATGCCTGAGACCCCGCTGGAGGCGGAGGGCTGCCTGGTGGGGAGGCGGAGCAGGGGGCTCCCTGAGTCCCCAGCGCTGTAGCCACAGGCAAGCACCAGCCCCGGGGCCCAGGGTGCTGGGAATTCCAACAAAGGGGCTCATTTTATCAGGAGGGGTGTGCAGGAGGCAGAGGATCGATGTTTCTCTCTCATCGATGTTTCTCTCCCTCCCTCTTCCTTCTTCTCGCTCTAAAAATCAATTTAAAAAATCTTAGGGGAAAAAAAAGATGGCAGTGGACTCTATCCAGCACAGAGAATGCCTGGGAGGGTCATAAGTGGAGCCTGCAGGTGCTGGGGTGACTGCTCCCGTGGCAGCGGCCCTGACCGAGGAGGCCCTGGGCGGAGGCCGGGGCCAGGGACACAACCGGGGAGCAGGGGCTGACCACCTGTCTGATGACTCCACGCTGTGCCGCACCGCGGGAACCTGGACGGGCCGTCCCGGGAGCTCGGCTTCCCTGTTGGGTGTAACTGGGGAGAAGGACGTCGGCTTCCTTCTTTCTTTTTCAATATATTTTATTGATTTCAGAGAGGAAGGGAGAGGGAGAGAGAGAAACATCAATGATGAGAGAGAATCATTGATTGGCTGCCTCCTGCACGCCCCCCACTGAGGATGGAGCCCGCAACCCGGGCCTGTGCCCTGACCGGGAATCGAACCGTGACCTCCTGGTTCATAGGTTGACGCTCAACCACTGAGCCACATGGCTGGGCATATTCCTTCTTTCTTACTCCTCGATACCCCCTTGGCTGAGTATCTGCACCCACTGTGGGCCAGTGGGGGAGCCCTAGGGCACCGACACCTGCTTGGTCCCCGGTAGCAGGCCCTGTGCTCTGTGCACCCCAAGGTGCCTCACTTCCCTCCTTCCCGAGGTCACCGGTGTCCCCCCAATTTCCCATTGTGCTTGGAAGGTCACTGACTTAACACAAAATCCTGAACAGAGAACCAGTCCTGAGAGACCCGCGGGCCCATGGGAGGCACATTAACGCGCCAGGGGCCCTTCCTTTTCTTTCTTTCCTTAATTAGGTCATTGATCAGCAATATTGATCAGCACACATGGTGCCTGGTGGGCCGTTCTCTCGGGTGAAGATCGATGATGCTCACTTTCAGGCCATCCATCCCGGCCGACACTCAGGGGGAGGAACGAAGCTGTGCAGGGGTGGCGGGTGGGGCCCAGGAGGCTGGAGCTTGCCAGCCGACTCCACAGATAACAGGACGGGAACTCGCCCCGACGACGGAGGTTTCAAAGCTGTTCCAACCTCCGGCTCGATGCCGGGCCTCCGTCTGAGAGGGAGCAGGGACTGGCCAGAGCAGGGACAGAGGGAGGCCTCCCAAGGCCCAGCCAAAGGCCACTTCCACGCATTCCAGGGATGCCTGATGGGCCTGCTAACCCTCCCCCACACCTGTCACAGCTAATTACCCTTTGGGGGGAGGCCCTTTCCACTCCACTGCTGGGCTTATCACAGTCAAACCTGGAATCATGGATCGGCTGCCCCCTGCACGCCCCCTAGTGGGGATGGAGCCTGTCCAGGGACTGAGCGAGCAGGGACGCTGGTCCACAGGGCTCCCGGCTCAGAGGGGTTTGCTCTGGCCTCCTGTGGACCCTCCTTCCTCCTCTGCCTCTGACGGACTTCCATGCCTTCAGTTTGGGGGGGGGGGGTAGCTCCACTTTAGGGAACTTGCCCGGCTGGCCTCACCCACAACTTCCTTCCCGAAATCCTTGGTCCCCCGGAGGAGACTGAAGGGCTCGTTCCTGTGGGTGCGAGGGGCTGCCTGGCTGTGCAGAATTCAGGCAGCCCAGGGTGGGCAGCCCCCCAGAGCACACCTGCTGCTCTCCCCGTGGGCGTGAGGGCCAGTGGTTTCCCGCCAGGAGCCTGGCTGACCGTGTGTCTGCAGGGGGCTGGTTTGTGGGGTGGGAGATGGCTCAGCCGCACCCCATCACGGACCCGTCCTCGGGCGCCCCCTGGCGGCGGGGGAGCGCCTTGCTGGCTCCATGCACACTGGGCCCGCATTGGAGTCGCCCTTAGCCAGCTGGCCGCAGTATTGAGTTGTCCTTAATACTGAGATGATCCTCTGGGCAGAGCCACTCTCCACCAGACAGAACGATTGAATTTACAGCTCGATGGGTGGCGATCGATAGAAATGAAATATGAGGCCACTTACTGTGTCCACCAGAAACAGCAGGCCCGAGGCGCCTCCTCACGCAGCTCAGCCCGCCAGCTCCCACGGGGGTCTCTGCACAGGTGGGACGGTCCAAACGCACTTCGGTTTTCTCTTTGCCCCAAATAAGTACCGCATCCTTGTGGGGCGGGGCCGATGATGGTGCAATGATGAGCCGCCCCGGCTGCCAAGGCGGGTGCCTCGCAGGTGCAGTTCCAGTACCTGCCAGCAGGGGGAGCGCTGCACACGCTGGAAACGCGGGACGTGGGGCCGGCCCAGTATTTGCAATGTTGAATGATGCTTGTCCTCTTTCAGGCGAGCCAGCTCACTCCTGGACTGGAAGCCACTGCCCCTTCGTGCACCGCTCACTGGCCAGAGCTCGTTCCGCCCCGCCAGGAAGCGGAGTCCCAACCCTGGGCGGCCAGCGGAGTCGGGGAGGTACCCGTGAGCAACACCTGTGGCCAGCTGGTTTAAGGACTGGCTGGAGCCCTAGCTGGTTTGCTCAGTGGATAGAGCACCGGCCTGCGGACTGAAGACTGGCTGGGTTCTGAGCAAACCCAGGCGATCTGGCTACTTAATGCAATCCCGTCCGGCATGAAGACCCACAGCCCCCGAGGCGTGTCTATCTCTTTAAGGCGTGTGTGACCTGCCCCAAACACATGCATTTCGGAGGCTAAAGCATTCCCCATGCACCAGGAAAGGGCATGGAGGCCCCTCTCCTCCCCACGTTCGCCCTCCACTGACTCCAGGAACAGTGAGTACAGCTGGGCACATCATCTCCCAGGAGCACGGAGGTTTATTGGTTTAAACCAAAAGAAAAAGAGGCTGGCCCAGCCAGTGTGGCTCAGTGGTTGAGCGTTGACCCAGGAACCAAGAGGTCGCGGGTTTGATTCCCACTCGGGGTACATGCCCGGGTTGCAGGCTTGACCCCTAGTGGGGGGGTGTGCAGAGGCAGCCGATCCATGTTTCTCTCTTACCAATGTTCCTATCTCTCCCTCCCTCTCCTTTCCTCTCTCAAATCAGTAAAAACATTTTTTAAAAAAAGAGATTGATATCACACCTCTTCCCAGGGACTCCTCTCCTCGAAGACCTGGGCGAGGGGCTCCCGTCCCCCCCGGTTCCCTGAGGTCCCCTGTCCCGAGGGGAGGCTGGGCAGGTGCTCCTGTCTGCCGTGTGGCCTCGCCAGGTGCCCGGCTGTCCTCCAGCCGAGGGGACCGCTGGCACCAGGGACCAGGAGGCCATGGCATCAGGCCTGCCTGAGGCCCGAGGCTCACCCTTCACACAGGCCGGTAGGAAGCTCACTTCAAAGTCGTTTTTTTATTCAACTTCGACTCAGCAACATACAATCCAGTGTATAAACAAGTGTCTGACCGTGTTTCCTGTGTTTATTTAAAAATAAATATTATTGACAGTGAATTTAATTATGATAAGATGTATCTTTTTTTAATCCAAATGTCTCAAAAAGAAATAATTTACTTTCATAAAAAAAGATAAGCCCCCAACGGAAAATGAGAAATTAAAAAAAAAAACTCCTAAACACAATCATCTACTAAAAATACGTTCCTTTGTCAGGAAGGCTGTGACCCAACACTTTCACGCCGTCTCCTAAGATAACG